GAGCACCGGCATGGCCTCCCCTGTGAGGTCTTAAGTCACCTGGTCACGAGCCCTTTGTACTACATTAACAAAGGCACTAGGGTTGGTTGTACTCGATTGAGAAACCGATCGCACAAATCCGTGATGCCGCGGCACCATTTTGTAAAGACTCCCCCCCCGTAAATAAGAATCATGTCCACAAGTTGAGCATTTTCGTAAACATGTGCCATTTTTCATTTCGTTAGAGCCACGCAACAAACACCACTATTCACTCACGCGTTACCGAATGACGAAAAACATCGTGATAAACGTTTCAAATTCTTTCGCTTTTTTGTTTCCGATGCGATGAACCGATATATCCGTTCTTGCCAAACACGAGCACATATTATTATTGAGACAGGGCGGTACTCAAACTTCTAAAGGGCTATAACTCTGTTACTTTAATTTTACCAGAAAAATGTTAAAGGAAAAAAACATTTCTTTTGATCAGATCTACTCACTGTTAAAATAAATGACTCAACTTCGAAGTCACCCTGTATATGTGTAATATGAAATAAATTCATTAGCCATGCACAATACCATGCTAAACTCGTACCCAAGTTAACAATACCTACGACAATAAAAAACTCATTTTCTTTGATCGCTGATGCCTTTAAAGCTCCCCTGTTTGAATTGTCATGCTTCATAAAAGCATAAGGACATTCCTTGGATGAACTAAATGATGAATTTAATAGTTATTTTTGCAAAGGCGTATTCTAGTCGGAGGGGATTTGGGGCTCAAGTCTTCAAGCATTATTTATGAATCAGATTGTTGATAGTGCTCTGGTTGCCATAACCTGCACACTATCAAACTTATATGTAGAACTTTTTACGATGCCATTATGCCTCTTGTGGTACTTGAGTTTTAGGGTGTTTACTGGCCAGAGCCTCAAAAAGTTGACAAAATCGGGGATTTTAGAAGGAAACATTAACAAAAGATGATAATTTGGAAGCTTTTTTTGTGAAAATTGGCGAGCTTAGCTTAAGCAGCGCAACTGAAAGCAAGAATTAACGATTGAAAAACTAAAGTACGGACAAAACGAGTAGAGGAAAGTGCCTGAATATCGCACACTTTTTTTGGGAACCTGTATCCTGGAAGAAAAATATTTTTAAGCTGCGATTATCAGGTGAAAACAATGTAGCCTAATTATCAATAAAACACATGAATCAAAAATATATTTAGAAAACAAAATGCTTTATTACATAAAAAAGGCAAAAATGTTACAATTCTTTTACATGTTAATACGGTTACGTAATACCTCATATGCGGACAAACAGAAATCACAACAAAATTCTTGTTTTTGTCCGAATTTGAGCATTCTTCATGGCCACATTTAAGACACTGATAACATCTTATCCATTTTTCGCCTCTCGAATCCTCCTGAGTACAGCCTCAAACAAAACATACATTATGCGTCATTATCTTCATTTTCGAAACTGCAATCCATGTCAGCATCATCTTCCAATTCCATATTTATATCCGACTCACTCGACGTACTATCATATCCTTCTTTTCGGCTTCTGTTACCTTTATTTGAATTTGTCTTGTTCGAAGAAGCAGGTTTCTCTGCCAAAGATTTTGTTTTTTATCGGTTTCTTTGTCTTACCGCCCTTAACTCTTGCAATATTTATTCCATTTTTCTTTGTTAAATTCTCTTTATTGGACGGACCATCTCGACATTCTAAGGATATCTACTACATTCTTTTTTAGAGCCTTTTTTTTATTAATTTCTGCCACACTTTTTTCGAAATCCTCCTTATATGGTTCTTAATTTTGCTGGGCTTATTATTTGAGACAGTTTTACATGCTCCAGTGACAGATGGTAGTGTAATTATCTTTTCAGGGCTTATGTAGACGTTATGTGGTGAAGTAATTTGTCATGGATGAGGTATGTTATCATGCTCTGTTGAATGTGGAGGTGTTGCTTCACGTTGTCTGTGAATGGTAAAGTCGTAATCATGAAAAATAAACCGGTTGAAAGGAAAAATGCCGCTTTTCCTGAACCCATTAACGGATACTTCTGCAGTGGCGGCTTTTAAGTACGCTTTACCCAATAATTCGCCTATCTGATAAACAGAAAAACTTCTACCAACATGATTTTTAAGCCAGGTTTCAATCTGTTGAGAATAATAAGTTTTGATTGGACTCATAAATGCCAGATCCAGTGGTTACATTTTATGGGTCGAATGGGGTGGTAGACTGATAATTATCACACCATGTGTTTCTAGCAAGGTCAATGAGGTCAAGTTTCGCGTTTGAGAGAGATGTCCGTCAAGAGTTAGTACGACTCGGCAATCAACTGATGACTTTGTGTGTTTAATGAATTGCCGTAGCCAGCAAGTAAATAAACCTTGTTGAATCTACCCCGATGGAGGGCATCCTGCTATGGACCCCGGTGGCGCACCGTCGAGAAGCTCTGCCTTGATGTATTTCCTTGAAAAAATTAGCATCGGGGACACGAACCCCCCAGCAGCATCCATGCTATACTACAACTATTTAAAACTGTAATGACTCATACGCGTGATCAACTCGTGATCAGAGCTCGATCCCGGCTTCCTTCCTGAACAGCCGTATAGCGTACGACATATGTCGTATCTGTGGCTTTGCGGTGGTCAACAGCACAGACTGAGATGGAAATAATGGCTGATTGTTCTCCGCCGGTAGAACCAATGAAATCAAAGACGCGCCTCGACCGGCAGACTCATAGGCGTCGGCAACGCATTGGAACGTGTTTCGTTGAGCGATCGCGTATTGTGTGTTTTTATAAGAATTGTTGTGTGATTGTTATTGTTGTGGTTTCTGTGGTTACTGTTTTGGTTATACTTAACCATGGAGAGAACAAATGGCACGAGTGGAAGTACTGAAAGCCAGGGAACAAGTAGACGGCTTCGTAAAGCACTGAAGAGGGACGCGAAAGAAATCGTGCTCAACGTGTTCAATTATCTGAACAGTATGACAGGCGTTCCAGAGTGGACCATTCGCAGGGTGGTGCATGAAAAGAAGAAAACTGGAGCTACTACTGATCCAAAGTTTAATTTGAAGGGACGAAAGGCCGTTAAATTGGATGACGATAGCAAAATGGCGTTAAGGCGAACCGTACATTCATTCTTCTTTAGGAATGAGATACCAACCCTCAAGGCTGTACATGCAGCGATCAAGGAAAATGAAATTATCCCCCAAATGAGCGTCGAGGTAATGGGGAAATCCCTGCACGAAATTAATTTTCGTTACGAAACGCGTAATCGGAAGTCAGTATTGATAGAGAGACCTGAAATAGTCGCCTGGCGTCGAAAATACCTACGCGAAATGATTGAATATAGGCGACAAAGCAGAAAAATCTATTATTTGGACGAGACATGGGTAAATGCAGGTCACACAGTTAAAAAAACCTGGATAGACAAAAACGTAGTGAATAACCGACAAGCAAGCATTGAAGGTTTGTCAACAGGTCTTCGTGGACCGTCAGGGAAAGGTCAAAGATTGATCGTAACTCATATTGGTAGCGATAGTGGCTTTTTAGAAGAGTGTGACTTGATTTTCGTCTCTAAGAAAGGAGGTGATTACCATGACGAAATAAATGCCAGCTGCTTCGAGAGCTGGTTTCAAGGGGTGCTTCAGCGAGTTGAGCCCAACTCTGTGATCGTCATGGATAATGCTTCCTACCATAGTCGTCGAGCCGAACATGTACCGACTATGGGATCTCGAAAAAGTGACATGCAGCAATGGTTGCGCGAAAAAGGAATCCCGTTTGACGATTAATGTGTGAAAGCGGAATTGTATGAAAAAATTAAACAGCACAAACCTGCGAACATTAGTTACGTGGCTGATGAGATGGCCCGTCAATGTGGTGTCACTGTGCTGCGGTTACCGCCCTACCACTGTGAACTGAACCCAATAGAGCTCATCTGGGCTCAAGTGAAGGGTTATATTGCGCGCCATAACACAACCTTCAAATTACCAGACGTTAAGGTTTTACTTGAGACTTCCATGCAGCTAGTAACGCCCGAAGCTTGGCAGAATGCTATCCGTCATGTTGTGAAGGAAGAAACAAAAATGTGGCAGCTTGACCACCACATCGACACCATCATAGAGCCAGTTATAGTCAATTTCAACGAGGAAAGCGATAGCGACAGTTTATTACTGTCAGATGTAAGTGGAAGCGACGATGAATAAAGGTAATTCCCAAATTTTTGACTTACAATATGTTTCAAACCACTCTTTATTAAGCATGTGACAAATCTAGATCACCCATGTTAAACATTCATACCCCGACTACTGGTAGTTAAGTGATGTTCACGTGAACATCGATGAGTCATTACAGTTTTAGATAGTTATAGTATAGTCACCATTGTGACAAGTGAACCCTTCTCAGCCGCAGTGATAGAACCAACCTGCCTTTTGCCTTTCAGCGAGATTACCTTGGAATACTTCAACTTTACGTTTGTTATTCCAGTACCATCAACATTATATATTTTAGCCGGGTTATTGCAAATTTTTTGCAAAGCAGGTTCCAAAATATCAAAAAATATCTCCACGTTCTCTGGAGTAAATCCTTTAATCCTTGCAGAAGAAATGCCCTGTGGCTTTATGAATGTTAAATTGGGGTGTAGAACAAGAAATTTTCTAAGCCATTTCTTTCCAGCTACACTCTTTTCACGTGAAAATGGATTAGGCAAGTTGAAATGCCATTCTTCGTACGTCTGAAGAAGTCAAATCATAGAAACATTTTTCCATTTCTAAACAGTATGTTACCTGTTGGGTTTCCATTTCTCCTGGTAGTGTCTCCATTTCTTCTGGTAGTGTCGTCTTTCTGCCCATGCTCATACTAATTAAATTAAAAAAATTTATATAATCCTTTATGTACTTTTGGGGACATTAAATAGTTTGGATGCTTTCAGATTCCCCACTTCATTATTTTTAACAGAATTTACTGCAGGCAACGTTGACTTCTTATCCCATTTTTTCCGTTAGTTTCGAGCATTCATTTCATCTGGAATAAAAACAAATAGTTATTTTTTTGTTCTTTGAATATCCCTAATATCGTACACTGCGATATTAGGACCCCTTGTGCGATATTAGGCCATACGATACTTTTAGGTTAAAGTAATGAAAGACAATATTTGAAATATGTTATATTATATTCTGAATGATGTAAAATGAAGAACAGAATTTATAAATAACAGGTACAGATAAATTAAAATTTTTCACTTACCGCTCTTACAAAAAAATCCACAAATATCGGACACTGTTAAAAAATCGTGTTCTACCAAATGCACGTTTTTCAGCACTACTGATGTCTACCTGTTCTCAGAGCTACTGGGATTAGTTAATGTGACATCTTTTGTCCGTGTCCCGGAACTAAAACTACAGAATACTACGGTCTAATCGTATTAGTAAAAGAAAAAGCGCACATTGCGATATTGAGCACCTGTGCGATATTCGGGCACGTTCCTCTACCTTTATCACAAATGAAAAGATGAAGAGAGAAATAGGGGGTCGATTTTCCACGATACACCATATATCTATTATTCGATCTACTGGAACATCTGAGCATCTAGAGGGGGGACACTACATTGTGATCCCAAAAGAATGAGAAAAATGAGCGTTTCAGGAAAAATAAGAAACAATAAGTAGCGGAAGAGATAATGAGAAAGGTGTGGCTGTAGCTGAGCCTAGCCCCGCCAGAACCTTTTTCTGGATACTCCAGGGTATTTGTGTAGCTACTTTTTCGATAGATAAATGCGTTTGGTCCTCACTGCTCTAGAACTAAAAAGTATTTGCGATCACATTTGCGTAGAAAATAACAAAATATGTAAAAAGAGGAAGCTACAAAGCCAATACACATTTTCTTATTGTACTCACTGGATTTAAGTACAAACTAGAAAAATAATTCGAATTTTTATCTCTCGAATAGATTTTACTTCCCACGCCATGCTGGTGAGGAAGCATTGTAATCGCGAAAAAATTTGAAAATGAATTATTATACGTATATTAACCATTCCACTCATTTTCGTCGGTGTGTCTGTCGGTCTATCCGCTAATGGAAAGTAGTGCTCGTATTTGGTTGAAATTATCTCAAAAGGTTACCACTATGGGTGATGAAGGATGAAAAAGCTTTGTAGATTTTGAAAATCGATCAAGTGGTGGCGGAGAAAAAAATCAAAAAACGAAAAAAGTCAAAATCGCAAAAACTTCGTTTTTTGATGTTTCAGACGATCCCGAAAAATTTGGGGGTTTTTAACGGGTGGAGAGGATATATCTCAATTTTTTGACGTTAATATATTTATACGCTCCCAACGTTGGTAACTCTACCCACCTATTATCGAGTCACTATCAGCCGCGTCTGCTTCTGCTCCCAACGGCGTGTCAGTCTTGGTAAGTGTTTTGGTAATTACCGCGGCATCTGACTAGTGACCAGGTCAGTTATTGGGGAGAGGCGACGTTGCCAGATGAACTATCGGAGGGACAGCAAAATACTGTATATGGCCTCCATTGTCAAATTTTTTTCTCAGATGGTCTAGATTGTCCTTAACATAATCCATTTGATGTAATTTTTTTGTTATTCAAACGCCCTCTATTGGATGATTGAAAAAAATCTCAAAATTTGATACTCTCGAAAACCATTGTTTTTTCCTGTACACGCATATACAGGGTTATCCAAATTAAGTGTCCACCATTAGTAACTTTGTTATTAGTGAAAATACAAAGTTGTTTGAATCAGCAAACTAGTAGCATTTTTAACGCTGGTAAAAATGAGAAATAAAAAAAACAATTGAGAGTCGTTATTTTGATTTTTTTCAGTAAAATAACATTTTTTTAAATGGAAACCCCTGTATATTATATTTTTTTCTGTTAAAGCATCAAATTTTAACCAAAAAAGCTTACAATAACTTTTCTCCTAGGTTACAAATTGTTGAAGTTATGGCCTCCAATCTGAAACAATTAAATTGTATCGACAAACTTTATTTTCAACATCAACTTATAATCTTACAAAATACAATAACAATTTTTTTTAAAGAAGATGCTCGAAAACACCACCTTGTTCTTCAATACATTTTTGGGCACGTTTTTCAACTGCTCGAACTGTCTTAAGTATGGTCCTACCATCTATCTGGGTTATCTTTTCCCTAACTGCAGTCTTTAACGCGTCAAGGTTATGGTACCTTCGCTTGTAAATTTGGTTCTTTAAGTAACCCCACAAGAAGTAATCAAGTGGGTTTAGATCTGGTGATCTGGGAGGCCACTGTATTGGGCCATTTGTTCCTATCCACTGATCATTAAAAGTAGTACTTAGAAAATGATAAGTACCTCTGGAGTTGTGGGCAGGTGCGCCATCTTGCTGAAAATGCAGATGATGTCTACTTATAAGATCCAATTCGTCTAAGAAATTAGTCAGAATTTCTGACATAAATTCCACATATCTTTCACCAGTTAGGGTTCCCTCATAAAAGAACGGGCCAACAATTTTTGAACCAATTATACCGCACCAAACGTTGAAACTGAAACGGACTTGTGGGCCTCTTGGATGTACTAACAAAAGATTTTCTCTTGACCAATAATGGTGGTTTTTTCTATTAAACATTCCAGAATTTGAAAAATTTGATTCATCTGTCCATAAAAGGTAACGAAAGTTATTTACATTTTGGCGACAGAAGCTAAGATACCAATGGCAAAAAACAAGTCTTCTCTCTGGATCCCCTGCCAAAAGCGTTTGAACTGGTCGGTACTTATACGGAACAAATTTGTATTTTTTTAAAATCCTTTGAACAGTACCATAACTGAAATTAGAGTCCTTGAGAATATCTGCTATTGAATTCTCACGATAAGCTTCAAAATATCCAATAACTGCAATTTCCGTGGCCTCGCTTATTATGAATTCTTTTTTTGCCCTTGTTTTAGCAAAAACATTTTCGTTGCCCCTAAATTTTCGATAAAGTCTCAGAAAATATCGTTCATACGGTTGAATGCGAGCGGGATATAATTCACTGTAGTATTCTCTTGCTCTCAAGGAGGATTTTCTGCACACTAAATAGCATTCTAACATATCACACTTTTCTTCATGGGAGAACATTTTTCTTTAAATTAATGACACAATAAAGCTTATAAACAAGTATTTACACTAATGTTTGACATTATTTGATTTTATCATTGTTTTCCAAAGCCTTCTAGTTGCGAGTATGTCTTAATGCTGTCAAATCGCGAACGCCAGGTTGTTTTCATAGCCGTCTTAATATATGTATTATAATACTGCAAATAATTAAAAATATTTATCGTTATTTTGACTTTATTTTTGACTTTAGCGGAAAAGTCATTATGAACTTTTTTGTTTAAAATTTGATGCTTTAACAGAAAAAAATATAATATACAGGGGTTTCCATTTAAAAAAATGTTATTTTACTGAAAAAAATCAAAATAACGATTCTCAATTGTTTTTTTTTATTTCTCATTTTTACCAGCGTTAAAAATGCTACTAGTTTGCTAATTCAAACAACTTTGTATTTTCACTAATAACAAAGTTACTAATGGTGGACACTTAATTTGGATAACCCTGTATAGGGTAAATTTTGATGCATTTTAGGTCCCCTATCACACCATATATATACCAAATTAGTATAATATGTAATACCCATTTTAGAACTATTTCCTGAAATCTCGCCAGTATTTTCAACATTGTAGTACCAATGTGATTTTCCATACCCGAGACCAGGTGAAACTATTTAATGAACGTCAAATTGAATGGCCACTTATTAATACGTTCAACAGCAATTATAATATTTGAATAGGAAATATTTCTGCTGAAGAGCTGCTTCCTGTTAACACTTTGAAGGTTTTAGAAATGATAGCGTGTAACGTGATTTTGGAGGTTATTTCGTGAATAATGCCGGAAAAGGTCACAAATCTCTAATCTGACGAAGATTGTGATGTGCGCTAATCAATATTCTGTTTAATCTCAAAATACTTCCTTGTAAAAATACTTGTAGATGATTTATGAATTTTTCCTACAAGGTGAAACAAGAGGAACAAACCAAATACCAATATTATATCGGAGAATGGACCTCACATACAGTATGTAATTGTAAAAATCAATTACCTTAGAGAGTGTAAATCAGTCTAAATAGCAACAGTGGCTCTCAGCCGCATGTCCAGTGGATGTGCTGCGATAAAGTGGGTGTTAATACGTTTCCTAAGAGAAACATGAAATAAGCCTGATTAATAAAAAAGTTCAACGTCACACTGATTTTAATAACTTTAGTCATATTTATACTAAGTGACATATAAATCCGAACACCCAGATTAAATGGTTTTATTTTAATAAAATTGTGTATAAGTACTTAATGAAGCATAATAAGTAAATGATAAAAATTTCAAAATGATTGCACTGCTTTAAAGCCCTTTGACCTTTAATAATGTGTGGATGCACCCTGATGTGCTACGCATTCTCCAACGCGCCTAGGCATGCTTCTGATCAGGTGGTCAATGTCCTCCTGTGGTATCTCATTCCAGGCAACCACCAACTCCTCTCAAAGTGCTTCTAGAGTCTGAGGAGGACGTTGCAAATTGAGCAATCTCCTACCCATCATATCCCACACGTGCTCAATTGGGGATAAGTTGGGAGATCTTGGTGGCCATGGTAACAATGTGACATCATTATGTTGAAAGAAGTCTATTGTGACTCTTGCAACATGTGGTCGGGCATTATCTTGTTGGAAAGTTGGATCTGCCAGGGTGTCAAGATAGGGTAAAAGATGGGGTTCTAGAACTTCGTGGATATAACGCTGCGCGTTTATGTTACCTCTGATGAAGATTAAAGGTGACCTGGAACTATAAGCTATAGCACCCCAAACCATAACTCCAACAGTGTGATGAACATGTCTTTCAACAAAAAACTGTGGATTCCTCCTTTCACCACGTCGCCTTCTAACCCTGGCACGGCCATCGTGCATGCCTAAACAAAGTCGAGACTCGTCACTACAGACAATACTGTTCCAT